GAGAGGACAAATATTCCAAAACTTTCTGAAAATACAATATGAGAATTAACTGCACAATTACTAGAAATGTGTACCTTGGATATTATACAATTTGCATACATACAATTTTTTTCAAGACGTTTTCTGTAGAATGGCCCATATACACATCGCAGTTAGCAGGAGGATCTTGAAAATCAACACTGACAAGCTGACATGACTTTGATAACACCATCTCATCTGGAAAAAATGTGATTGCAAATGTGTGAACTCTGAATTACCTCTGATAGAGGAGGTTTATGAAGCTGAAAACTGCAAAAGGAGATGGCCGATCCGTCAAAGTCTGTGCAACGAAAGACAAACACGGTTGATGGATCGTCTATGCATGGCAAAATCTGATAGAAGACGACAAATTAAGGTTGCCAAAGAAGATGTGTTAAGAATTTGTGAGTTTATGAGGTGCATTTCTCTAGCAAAGTAAATAATCGGTCTGTTTTGAGAGCACCAGCTGGTTTCATGTGAGATTGTTGCGTTAATTTTAAACCCAAAACCAGTTTACGGTTCCCTAAAAAAGGAATAGGGCCCGAGGGGTGCTGTGCTTCACAGAACAATAGTGACATATGAGCAGTGGCATTTAGAGTTAACATAAAAAATAAAAATGTGCAATAAAGTATTTATGCGTACAGAAGCGCTTGAAGGCACTGGTTATTTGTCATGAGCACATTCATCAAATTCCAAAGTTTCCCGCAACTTGGAATCGGTACAGTGAAAGGAGGTTTATGAAGAGCAAATTCATGACCGAACATATAAAAATAAGAGTAATCATAATTTTGAAGGGGAAAATGAACCTCTTGGATGGGGTTACAGCTCTTGAAGTACACCTTTCAACACCAGAGGTCTCCCTGTGCTGTCTTGAGGCAATCTGCATGTGAAACAGTACACTGAAACTGAAGAAGTCTTTGTTAATCAGCCCATCTTCCTTTCTGGCCCTTCTGTAGCTCTAGTTCAGCTCTTTGGAAAAGCACCACAGGGCAAACACAGCTGACAGCACAGAAGAACTTGCACAGACACATGCACACATGACAGGCAGGTGAATCTCTGCTTTTATTTTTATATCTTCAGTTTTCATTTGAAATTTTGTTTGGGAACTATGCGCTTTTATCTTTTTTGTGTGTAAATATTTCTTATTTCAGTTTAAGTTTTAGCAATTTTCAACTAATATATTTTATTATATTTAAATATTATATTAATATTATTTATTATAGTATTGTTTCATATTTTATTTTTATATTTTAAGTTTTAATGCTAATTTTAGTTTAAGTGCTTTTATCATTTTTATTTTTGTTACTTATTTGTAAATATTTTTTTAAATTTCAGTTTAAGTTTGAATAATTTTAGTACTTCAACTTTTATTTTTACATTTTATTTCAGTTTTTTTTTTGTTTTAAGTTTTCATCTAATATTATTTTATTTCGGATTTACTTCAATTAATTAAAATGATTTTAATTAGTTTTAGTAATCAATAACAACACTGGTTAGGAAAATGGCTAACTAAAACTAAAACTAAAGTTAACATTAACTGAAGTAATATATTAAAAATATTTTATTTCATTCTTGACAAGGCAATAACGACTTCAAAATTAATTAATAAAATCTATAATAGTATCTCAATTATACTGAAATAGCACTAGCAATAACATATTGACTTATAAAAAAAAGTCAGAGTAGTTTAGATCGGATGAACAATTCATTATGGGTTTGCATCTATTATGTGTTAAAAAATGATTGAAGGGTAAGGATTGAGAGAAAGACCAACACATAGCTTGAGTGATGCATAAACCACCATTACAACCATACGCATAAAACCACCATACTTTTACAAAACGTAAAACCTACAAAAATCTCAAAACCTATTGAGTTGCGCACTATTGCAGTTGTTTTTTTAAATGTTTTAAGCAGCCTATGAGGCCCCATCATGATATCTAGGCAGAATTGAACACAGCATATGATGCTATCTTGGTAGGTTGCTCACTAGATTATCTAGACTAGTCAGCCACAAAGTGTAATGACTTCCTTGAAGCGGAAGCATTGCAGTGACATTCTCGTATTTACAGGTGTGAGAAAGTGAGCATTTCATTATAATGATGGCGAGGTGTCTTTAAGACAGTGTGACAGCATTCTTTCAGTCTTTTGTCTCATTTTAAAGCTGGCCTCCAGCTGAAACCTCACACCGCCCACACCTAGTTATATCGGTATGACGGCATCTTTTTTTGCATTGTACATAAAGTCTATAGGTTTGACAGGACACTTGTCCTGAGGGATACTTAAACAATTACACACGACTTCCAAAAAGAACGCGGTTCTTTGCCTCCTTTGCTTGGAATCCAGCAATGATGCAGGTGACTGTGTAATAGCAGCTTTCATTTAATAACCAAACTTGTGCAATATAAGATCCATAAACCATGTCCTAAGTCTCCAGAGTTTCACTGCGTCTTGTTGGACACAAGTTGATGCAACGATTTCATTAAAAATGCAAGGAAAATCAATTCTTCTACTCGCACACAAGCCATTTGTCTGCAATCTGAAGGACTACAGGTGCATCTCAATAAATTCGAATGTCGTGGAAAAGTTCATTTTCGCAATACATTGTTTTCAGATGGTAAAAGCGATCTGTCAGCTGGCTTTGTCTTGTGATGCATCATAAACAGCTGTTTGGAAAAGAGAAGAATGTGTAAAGGGAAGAAATGAGTTTCACTTGCTGAAAACTGCTTAAGATTGCTTTTTTTTTTTCAGTAATATACTGATTTTTCCGAGTATATGCAACAGTCATAATGCAAATAATTTCAGATACTGACCACATTGGACCTGGGTCCAAAATTAACTTTCTTGCCAATGGTAATTTACTGGTAACAGTATTTTCCATGATTTGTAAGTAGCTGTTTGTTTTGTATATTCTTAGGTCATAGTATTACTCACATTATCATACACTAGCCACTATTTTTGTGAAACGCCTGATGTCAAATCAATAATTTTGCTCCCCCTCAGTGCTGTTATTGTTAGCTAAAACTAAAATGATTAAAAATCATTAATTGAAATAAAGCTGAAATAAAATAAAATATAAATATTCTGTGAAAAACTTAGAAATGCCATCTTGGCAACTAACTGAAATAAAAATAAAGCTAAATATGCTTAAAAAAATAACATTAAAATAGTAAACAGAAAATATAAATATACAAAATTTCATTTTTATTCCGAGGTCACCATAGCCATATGGATCAGGTCTGTATCCAGATCAGATGGTCACTGTAGCCACCCACATCCAGTCCATATCCAGACCAGATGGTGGATCAGAGACGACCTCTATAGCCACGAATGTCAGCGGAAATCATGTTAACTAGGGGCCTGTTTACACCTGGTCATTTCATGCGTTTTCGCTGATCGGATATCTATCTGATTTGTTAAAACGTTTCCATTTACACTTGGCCACATAAATGTGTCGTCGCAAAACGGATATAAATCCGATCTTCAATTCCCACGCTATATTTAAATTTAACGGCGTTCACGTCAACGAAATCAAAAGATAAGCGCTGCATTTTATTAATTATCAGCTCATTTCAAGATCAAAGACCGCAATAGAAGAGCGCTCGGCATCAGCACTGGGGAGGGCATTTACACCTGGTCTTTTCACGATCGGATAGCTATCGGATCAGAAAAAAACACATGAAGTGACCAGGTGTAAACAGGCCCTAGATGCGCCCCAGAGACAGATCCCCTGTAAAGACCTCGTCACCTATCGGCAAAAGACCACGAGAACCAGATGAGTCCTCTGCACAATCTGACCTGTGTTGCAGCCTGGAATTAAACCATGTCATGCTGGTTTCGTCTGGCCAGAGGAGAACTGCCCCCGACTGAGCCTGGTTTCTCCTAAGTTTTTTCTCCATTTCTGTCACCGATGGAGTTTTGGTTCCTTGCCACTGTCGCCTTTGGCTTGTTTAGTTGGGGACGTTTGACTATTTTTTTACACTATTGGAAGTCTGCGTATATATATAATACTAAAATAACACTGCTCCACATATTTGTTTGTGTGGTTTACTGGCCAAAGTTCTCGAGAATCGTAATAATACTTCCTACTAGTTAAACCCCTGAAGGTAAAATGTTAACTGAAGTACAGGTTTCCTGAATAACAGTCATTGATATTTTCAATCTGGATCTCTGGCTAGTACTTTTTTTTTTTGTCTCATTTGCCACTTGTCAAGTGTTGGACTAATAATGAAGTCGGTCAAACATAATGAAGAGTCAGAAATGCTTCTGGTTTTACCATTTTTTTAATTGAACACAAACATTTTTCCATGAACCTCCAGCTTCAAGAGCTCATCAGAGCACATTTAAACAATGATGGGTGTAAAGCAGCTCTCATCCAAACACACAAATCATCATCTTCATCACCAACAACAACAATCCTCAGCAGTATATAACTATATATCATAAAGAACCCATCACCATCACCTGACAATAATGATAATAATAATCATCTGACTGCCTTAAAAGCAAACACCTTGTGTGATACTGACCCCATCGAGGTCCATGTCATAAATGTCCAGCACCTTTACACTTAAACACCAAACACGACAGAACACACAGGTACATCAGAACCAAACAGGAGTGGAGAAGTTCAAGTACAAAATAAAACATGGAATGGATTCCGAACCTGTCTGTCATTCCAGCTAAAGTTTATTTCAACCAGGGTGTATTACTCCATTGGCAAGAATTCATGGAGAAAAGAGCAATAAGTACCAGTATTAAAACTCAGGGGTCAGAACATACAACTGAGCCTCCGAGAACATCAACGCACATTGAGGCAAATTGAAATAATGGCCACATCTGAGTAATCAAGGGAAATTTATGAGTGCGTTCTGAAACTGTAGTGTTTCCATTTAAAACGCATTTTAAAAATATGTATGTATGTATATATATATATATATATATATAACATTTTTTTTAAGTCATTGAAATTGGATCCGGTCCTTATTTACGTGAAAATAATTTCAATTTATATATATATAGAAAAATACAGTTATTTCAACACTTTTCTAAAGAGCAACAGATGCAATCTCTCGGAAACGGAAATGTCTTTCACCCTCTTATCACCTGATTAGACACGTTAAAGCAGACAGATGACCCTTCGACCATCCTAATGAGATGTCCCGGGACCCCAAACACTGGAATGTTCTAGAAAGTGAGTACAGGATGAATAAATAAAAGTGATATCAAGCAAAAGGGAAAAGGAAGGTGCAGGGACACATTTTTCACCAATATAGCAAAGCTCTCCTGCGATATGTACAAATGCGCAAAGTCATGACCCCTTTTTTATAGTAGCAGCAGATGTGTTAGCGGCATTCGAGTCCTGAATCTCGATTAGAAGGTGATAAAAACACATACACAATCATTCACGCGTACAGAAACACGCTGGGCGTCTGGGAGCTTGATTACTGCATCAAACACCGTCACCGTCGTGAATAAGCATGACCTGAGGGACATAATATTCCACTCTCCGTTCATGCAGTTATTGAGAAAAAATAAAGCAAGAAGTTCGTACAGCACTACCCTCAGTGTCGAGTAGCAGTACGACGCTTGACGCACTCCACAAACACGCCAAAGCCTATTGCACAAAAAAAACAGGCAACACATTTCATATTTCTGTCTGCACAACGGATAAGCTCTTTTTCCCAGACTTGAGCCATGAAAGGAGCATTTGGACCCTGCAGGGGCTGAAGGGATGTAAGTCGGGGTATTGTGTATAATAAGCAGCTGGGAAATCTTGGGCAAGCAGGCCGGCCACGGCAAGATTACAAATGACTAGCAAGAATAAAATGTACAAAATGCCCATAGGCACCTCTCAGAAAAGTGCAAGGCTCTCCATTTTATTTACCAACTCCAGGTGTCCACAGAGCCTTCCGTCACAATCCATCTGTCAGATCGCTTCATTCAGTAACAAGTCGGCTACCCACCGAGTGCCCTAAGGTAAGTTGAAAGAAACGTTATTATACAGCCTAGTAATCAGTTTCTTCTTTTTCATCCCCAAAACTTTTCTGCTGTCTGGGTTCCTATAAACGCACGGTGTTAATTCGCAAGGGCTGCACGTTTTTTCCATTGGCGTGACTTTGACCGGGGCTGAAGTACGGATAAAGTTTAGCTAGAAACTTCTCTCGGTAGGTGTAGAGCCAGGACATGTTGTCGGCATTGTAGAAAACCAGCAAACCTTTGGGGTAGTCCAAGTAGACGCCCACTTTCTCGAGTTTGCTCTTTACGTTGAGGCGCGTCCAGGGCTCGGTGCAAGCGCTGTATTGGTTACCGTCGTGCATGACGATGCAGTAGAAGCCTCGGCTGGGTTGGATTTGAATGCTGCCCTTGCGGTTGACCGTCTCGTTGGCCACGCCGATCATCCACTGGGTTTTCTCGGACACCATCACTTCCCAGTAGTGGACGCCCGCGGAGAAGCCCTCGGCTCCCAGCACTGACACCTCAACGTCAAAGCGGCGCGGCGAATCCTGCAGGGGCTGCGGGTGCAGGTTCCCGTATGCAACGATGGTGCAGTCGTCTGACAATATGAGCCTCTGGTGAGCAGTGATGGGGTCCATGGTTAAAGCAGCAGGCACTGTGAACATAAGGATAGAGGAAATGAAAATCAGTGCATATAAAATCAGTCCAATAAAAGCTCAACACCTGTTATATTACAGCAGGTAAACATAAAAATAAATAAATAAATAAGAATAAGAAAAAAAAAAAAAAGGAAAAAAAATTGTATATATAAGAAATCTAAAATAAAGAAAATTAATAAATATAAAAAGTTAATGAAAAATATAAAAAATAAGAATAAAAATAACAATAAATAAATATATAAAAATAAAAATGAATAAAAACTAAAAATAAATATATTTATAAAAAACTTAAATCTGTTTTTAAAATATATTTAAAATATATAAAAATAAATATTAAAGTAACATTTTGGCCGTATTACCACCTTGGATGTGAATAAAACTTTCAATAATTCAATTATCAGCATCAAGTCATGAATTGGATCTTAACATATTAAAGGGGTCATATGATGTTGCTAAAAAGAACATTGTTTTGTGCGCTCGTAGCGCATATAGTCATATATTTTGTGGCAACTTTCGAAAGAAGAGGGAATCGAGCCTGATTATCCCGCCACCAGGCAAGCGGATCAGAGTGCAGATCGAGGGCTTCCTCCTGCAAATACCTTGCGACTTCAGTGTCTGCACGGATTCTTTTTGGGACCGGATTGGAGGACTGTGCTTTTCTCTTTCCAAGCAGGTCGTTAGAACGAGCCTTTTTAGGTAGGCGTGGTTGACTTAACTTTTATAAAGAATATCTATTTGGATTTGAGACTTTAGTCTTTGCAACTTTACAGATCTTCTTTATGCACCAAAAGCTTGTAACACTCCAAAGAGAAAGGAAAAACTGAAATCGCATCATATGATCCCTTTAAATTGCTCTTTTGTTATTGGTCTGATGTATTGATCTGATCGGTTTCCTAAAGAGGCTTTCTTAGGAGTGTAGAAAGATGGGCAAGTCTGGTTTGCCTTTGGGCATCCATACGTGGACATCCATAGAAGACATAAAGGTCATAGCTGTGGTCTAGCGGTTAGTGCATGTGCTCAGACTTTGTGGGCTTTTAGGCAAGGCAAGTTTATTTGTATAGCACATTTCATACACAATGGTAATTCAAAGTGCTTTACATAAAAGAAAAGAAAAAAAAATATTCACAACAATAAAACAAGGAATTTAAAAACTTTGAAAATGATTAAAAAAATTGATTTAAGAGGTTTAAAATGAATTTAAGAAAACGATTATACCTGGTTTTACTTAAGTATCCCATTCCACCTCTTCATCGCTTCCTTTTCTCTCTCTGTACTATACTTATAAAAGAGAAAAGTGGCAAAACGTCTAAATTAGCAGCTGGAAACGGGCGTTTGGGGAGGTCATTCTTGTCAATCAAAAGCGCTGACACAATCACTACCTAAGCTGGTGGAAAAATACTCCTCTGAAACACATAAACACACTCCCTCTAATTCGTTATCGGTCAGGTCATTTAAAGCATATAATCCTTTGTGTTCAAACACTTTAAAATGCATCCAGCAATAAGAATAAGAGTACTGGCCAGGAGCAAAATTGTCTACGGTTTGCAGTACTGGTCATTGTTTTAGCGCTGCTGCCAGGCATTGAGTACTTTGTCGAAGAAGGATAAATAATCTCCATCCATCAACCGCTGCCTGGCTGCTAATGCCTGCAGCGGACAATCTGCACTGCCCATTATGGTGCCAGCTTGCTGTGGGTTCAGTGGTGGGCAAGTGTGCCAAAGAAATGGACTGAGAGAAGAGCAAACCCTGGAAAGAGAACAAGCTTCCTGCATACAGACAAAAACAATGGACACATGCCACTAGCTTGGACCTGAAAAAGAGACCCGAGCCAAGCAGTTGCAATACATTATGATATGCAAGATGCCAAGATATAATTTTGGAAAAGATGAGCAATGATGAACTACATGAAGATTAAGAAACATGATGAGAAAATATGGGGAGAAAATGAAGCTGAGAGTATCTTGGGTAAAGAATGCTTATCTGAAACAATCACTTATTAGGCATGTTGTGCATTCTTTTGCATTGCACACACCACCAGAAGTTTTTGCATGTAAATGTTTAGGGTTTGTATGAACATTCAGAGTGAAGCAATGCTGGCTTGTTTTCCTGCGGTCCATAGATGGGCATGTCTGCCAGAGACCAGAGATGAAGAGGGAAATTTGCTAAATATTTTTGTCTTGGTTATTTAAAACCTTCGCCACAAACGGCAGAGCCAGAAGCCGGTCCAGAGGATAGGATGTCGACATTTCCACTCTTTGACATTGGCAGTTTGCACTTTAGGTAACCTATAAATAATTTAACCTCTGTCGCCTTGCTTTCGATCCGTCTCTGCCTCTCCCCTCTCTCTCTCTCTCTCTCCGAGTCACGCAAACAAAACAAACACCAGTAACAGGCTTTGGATTCAGAAAGTCACCGAAAAAAAATTGCTGTTCAGGTTGGGAGGGGGGAAAATACTGTAAATAAATAAATACTTTTTATACTTCTATACTATTTATATTTTTTATATAACTTTTAATAACTAATGAAAGCATTCACTTCACAATCATAGATGCATTACTACCTTGGGCGTGAAAAAAAAAAAAAAAAAAATATATATATATATATATATAAAATAAACATGAATAAATCTACAAAAACGAAAAACGAAAATATAAACAATCTAATTATTTATTATAAATTTTTACTTGTATGTACAATACATATATAAAATAATAAATACATAAATTATGGATATGTTTCAAAAGGTAAAAAAATAAAACATACATAAACTTTTTAGACTAAATTACAATGATATAATTTTATAGGACTTTATAGGACTGAGTATAAAACTTTCAATATTTATAGGCTCACTAACAGGCTTTGGATTCAGAAAGTGGCAAAAATATTTCTGTTCAGGTTGACAGGAAAAAAAAATTGGATATTGGAAATATCTATGCGAAATTCAAAAACAAGCCATGCCAGTTCAGAATAAAAGGCGGTGAGTGCAGCAGTGTGGAAGGAAGGATTTGAACTGGATTTGTTTCATGTGACAGGCCGAGCGTCGGCCCCTGCCTATTTCTGTCGGTGTAAAGGATGCTGGTAAATTGGAGAAATGACTGAGAGAGCGAGATATTCCCTGCTGTGTTATTTTAAATAATGCTCTGCCTCAGGTGGCTACTGAGGGGGAATACAGATGGAGGAGGCCTTCAGCGCTTCTCACTGCAGCTATTAAAATGGGCCACTCGTGCAGAGCTCAATCAGACATGCATTATCTCATTCACAGGGCTGTAAACACAGAGGTTGTGTTTGTGTTGATTAGATCATCTCTAATTGGAAGCAATAATACATACACAATGTTTAGTATTAGATCTTTGGACATGATTTCTATATTAATAGTACAACTGATACACAAATAACAACAGGCTATTCAATGAGATGCTCTTTCTTTCTGGACATAAATTAGCAGAGCTTAAAACTCGCTACCACAATGCTAGGTTGAAGCTGTTCGGTTGCTAAAGTGTCCTGAGTGGTTGCTTTGGTGTTCTGGGTAGTTCTTAGGTGGTTTGATATACTGTTCTCTAAATCCAGGTTCTTCTTCAATGCAAGTCTATGGTATTTTATTTTTTTTGGCCTCTCTATGTACCACCAATCAAAAACAGTCAATCTGATCCAGGGTTATTACTGTTAACTAAAACTAATACTATTTTTAACCATGTTAAATGGTGAAACAAACAAACAACAAAAACAAAAAGACAAATAGCTCAAATTAAATAAAATACAAATATTATATGAAAATATTAGAAATGTTGCATTGGCAAATAACTGAAATAAGTTATTAAATAACTAATAAAAATAATGGCTACTGAGGGGGAATACAGATGGAGGAGGCCTTCAGCGCTTCTCACTGCAGCTATTAAAATGGGCCACTCGTGCAGAGCTCAATCAGACATGCATTATCTCATTCACAGGGCTGTAAACACAGAGGTTGTGTTTGTGTTGATTAGATCATCTCTAATTGGAAGCAATAATACATACACAATGTTTAGTATTAGATCTTTGGACATGATTTCTATATTAATAGTACAACTGATACACAAATAACAACAGGCTATTCAATGAGATGCTCTTTCTTTCTGGACATAAATTAGCAGAGCTTAAAACTCGCTACCACAATGCTAGGTTGAAGCTGTTCGGTTGCTAAAGTGTCCTGAGTGGTTGCTTTGGTGTTCTGGGTAGTTCTTAGGTGGTTTGATATACTGTTCTCTAAATCCAGGTTCTTCTTCAATGCAAGTCTATGGTATTTTATTTTTTTTGGCCTCTCTATGTACCACCAATCAAAAACAGTCAATCTGATCCAGGGTTATTACTGTTAACTAAAACTAATACTATTTTTAACCATGTTAAATGGTGAAACAAACAAACAACAAAAACAAAAAGACAAATAGCTCAAATTAAATAAAATACAAATATTATATGAAAATATTAGAAATGTTGCATTGGCAAATAACTGAAATAAGTTATTAAATAACTAATAAAAATAAAATAAAAATAAATAAAATCTAAAATAAAAGGAATAACAAATATACGAAAAATATAAATATGAAAAAAATAAAGGCAATTTAAAATATAACATTTTAAATTATAATATAAATAATAGTAAAATAACACTGGTCTGATCTCTTAGACAAATATTAACACACCTCCCCTCAATAAGCCACATGATGTGAGGTATTATTCACGTCTGCAGAACAAACAGTGTTGGGTTTGTTTGAATATCTCAGTCCAACTGCAAACTACAAGACAGAAGCTAATGGCTCTGTGCAAATTTAAAAGTTTCTTGGATGAAACTAAGCGACCATAATCTTGACCCACCTAGTCTATAATTAATGATGTAAAATGAGCTCCAACATGACCGCAAACAAGATTGAAATTAGTGTCTGCACTCAATAGAAAGGGCAACGAGCTTCAGTCCTGTAGTGTGCGCTTGGCTGAACCTCAAATACGTGTAACAGCAATAGTAACACTTGCCTTGGCAAATGCCGCAAAATGGATTTTTCACTGTTCTGAATGCTTATGCCTGGAATATAAGCACATGATAATGTTGAGATGCTGGGAAGTATTTGCTAAACACAAACAAACATACTAAACACACCACCCACAAAACCATCGCAGATCCTTTGTAAATCCTGTTTGGGAAACCTTGATCTAGTGTATTTGTGCAGATTACATTAGCATGAGCTTAATTTCCAGGTATAAGCATTCAGAACAGTGAAAAACTCAATTTGTAGCGTAACTTTTTTTTTTTTTTAAGGGATGCATCTTCCTGTATTTGCAGTTGTTTTCTCAGTGACACATAGCCACTATTTAAAATGCAATTCTACAGTTCTGACACATTACCTGGCGATATATCCAGAAAAAGAGACTTCCAGATGGTATATTGTAGTGGCCCCATGTATTTGGACGTCGGGAAGTCTTCATAGGTGAGGTTGGTTTCGTGGATCTTTCCCTTTATTCTGCGGAGACAGAGGACAACAATTGCATTATTCAAATTCAACACTGGCAACCCACCAAACCCCAAGCAACCGATTCCTCCTCAAAGGCTAGATCCTGTTTCCAAACACTCGCTTTTGAATCGCACTGTTTTCTACATAGCTGTGCCGCCCCTGCAAAGTCAAACAGCTCAGATTCGCCGTTGGGAGTGAGGTCAATCTGGGCAACACTGCAGATCACTTTCATTACTTCAAGCCCAAAATTAATCATGCTATTCCTTTCCCATATGGCTAACTCATTCCCCTCTCGTCATTTCCAAATGAAAACGACTGCTGCACACCATTCAGAAATGCAGTTTTCTCAAAATGCAGTCTTAAACTTCAAATATTTATGCTGATTAATAGGGCTAAGATATGTAGATATAAATCGCAACAAGCTTTGTTACTTTTGATATCAAAAAGTCTTCTTTCAAAATCTATCAATGTTATTATGAAATTTAAACAACAAACATCGTTTTGATGCTCTTTAATGTGGCGTTACATTGCTGTAGATTCTTCAGTTCAAGCGGAATGTGAACAGATCCTCTTTTCCTCTTTACTACTAGTTACAGCACAAAATAAACATGACTGAACATCAGAGGGCATGTTGAAAGAAACAGTACAGGTACATGTCTCAGGTAATTGCTCAGTGTTTCAACCGCAGAAAGACATCAATAAAACATTGTTACGTAGTGTTACATTTACATTAACAAAGCCATTTAATGACCACAGCTTGACAGTTACCTAGAAAAATGAACACTAAAGGGGAGCATTTTGCTAAAAGTATTACACACTCTTGATTTTTTTCTTACTTATATATTTTTACTTAACATTTTCTTCAATATTTAATGTAAGTTTGAATAATTCTGTCATGGAAACAAGTAATGACAGCCACCATTTAAACATTTTCTTCAATATTTAATGTAAGTTTGAATAATTCTGTCATGGAAACAAGTAATGACAGCCACCATTTAAACATTTTCTTCAATATTTAATGTAAGTTTGAATAATTCTGTCATGGAAACAAGTAATGACAGCCATTAACACTTTAAAAGAGACAGAAATTTAGATGTTTGTGAAAGATGTTTTCTCTGTTTTGGAGGGACGATCATTTTTAAATCATACCCTATTTATTACATCAAAATTTGTTAATACTTTACTATATTTTTGGGTTGGATCATTTTATCAGTTGTTTATTATTCATGCAACCATACATATTGCTGTTAAAGTTTTTATTTATAACCATTATATAGCTGATAACTTTGTCTAGTGCTCTTATGAATGTTTATATAGCATGACTTACTATACTGAATGACTTAAGCATAGACTTCTTCATGGCTAGTGTTTGCATATTTCATTTCATTCTGTAACCTACTTGTTCTACAGATCTGTGCACTAGTGTTAAATGCTACAGATTTTGACAGCGTTGATAAAGTTTCTGACAGATAATATCATGATTTTTTTTTTTGCGTTTCCCTTACCGAATCTTGTTGTCAGCAATAACCTGTCCATGGACTTTTTTGATTACTGCCAGTTTAAGTGCCGGCGATGCAATGTTGCCAGATATTGCTATTAAAATAAACAAAAACCTATAAATAAATAAAAATAAACCGAAATTATTTAAGATAAAGATATCGCTGATCCTAAACCGCAACTTCCTACTTTATTAACTTTCTAAAGTGTCAAATTAAGTGGAAAAATAAGTCAAAAAATGCTTATAATTAGGGGTGCTCCGATTGATCGGCTACCGATCACTATCGGCCGATAATCACGTTGGGATGATTGATCGGCAGTCTCTAAAAAGGCCGATCTCAAAAAAAAAACTATCTCAAGCTGATGACGCTGCCATGAAAGGTTTGGCACGACATGCAGCGGCACCGTCTCAGTCTCTGTCCGGCGCGGGTGAAATGTTCACATTACTCCGTTTGCAGTGCATATGTGGTGCGTATTTTTTCCACGCTCATGTTAAAGGATCAATAAAGCGTGCACACTGCGCACGGTTGCGGTCCGACAGTGCGTTCCGAGCGGTGCGTCTGCAGCAGTGCAGAGATCGTTTCCGCACCGAGTCTATG